CCGCTGCGGCGCCTCCTCGGAGAGCCCGGGTCAGCTGCCCCTGCGGCCGCGGCTGGTCCCAAACTCACTGAATCGGGAACTCTGGTCTGGGTCCAGAAATCGGAGTGATTCTGATGCAGGCGAGAGTTGGAGAACGAATGTCGTAGTTCATCAGCCTCCGAAAGCATCCTTTGCTCTCTTTCCAGAAAGGAAGAGCATCTCTGCCATTCGGGTCTCAAGGACAAGCGCCTCAGCCTCGTTCTCTGTGAGCTGATCTGTGGATCGCGGCGAGTCGGGTGAGCACGGGGTGATATTTGCCTCGGCTCGGTCCCCTCCTGTGCCCTCTTTATGCATGAGATAGTGTTTGTGCCAGGCGCGGTGGTTCACGCCTGTAATCCCAGCCCTTTGGGCAGCCCAGGCGGGCAGATCGCTTGAGCCCAGGAGTTTGAGGCCAACCTGGGCAACATAGCAAGATCCCGTTTCTACCAAAAAACCAACCAACAAACAAACAAAAAAACAGTAAAATAAAAGGAGCGCTCCTGTGTTCCCAGCCACTCGGGAGGCAGAGGTTGCAGTGAGCTGAGATCGCATCACTGCACTCCAGCATGGGCAACAGAGCGAGACCCTGTCTCAAAAGAAAAGATAGTATTTGGTCTCTGGATTTTATACTCTGCCTGTGGACATCAGTTTGATACATTATATTCAGGTAAAAAGTGAACTGATGCTTTATGTCATTAATGATGCATTTGAATCATTCATTTATAGATTGGTTACATTTCACACAGAAAATTTGGTCATCTGTCAGTTTCAATCTTTTCCCTTTTTATTCCTTGCAGTTTCCATTTCTTTTCATTTCTTTACTGCACTTGCCAGTAAAGAATTAGCATATAATTTACATCCTTGTCTTGTTTCTGATTCCAGAAGGAATTATTCTCTCATTTCACCATTAAATAGGATGTTTGCTGTAGGTGTTTGTAGTTTTTTTTTTTTTTCTTTCTTTATTCCTATTTCTTTTTAGAAAATAGGAGTCTCGCCGTGTTGCCTGGGCAGGTCTTGAACTCATGGGCTCTCTGCCTCCCAAAGTGCTGAAATTACAGGCATGAGCCACTGCACCCGGCCTGACCATGTTTTAAACCGCTGATTTTTTTTTCTTTGATTAGTGGATGTAATCAGGTTTTAGATCATTGCTGGAAAGTTGTACTACTTTCTAGAAATGTATTGATTTCTTGTGCATCTTCATATTTATTCCTTAAATTTTTTCTATATTCTCCTTATGATAGCTGTAATTACGATTCATTCTTGTTCATAATTTTTGTTGTTGTTCTTCAAGCCCTGTTGCTCTTAAAATTGCTGAGTTTGTTGCTGGCTATGGTGGTGCACATCTGTAGTCCCAGCTGGTGGGAGGCTAAGGCAGGTGGATCGCCAGAGCCTAGGAAATAAGATCAACCTGGGAACATAAAGAGAGTCTGTCTTAAACAATAAATTAAATAAAAAAATTTTTTTAAAAAGCTGAATTTGTCAGTTTCATTAGTTTTTCTTTTTGCAACGGATGCTTTTTTTTAGCTTTTCTGATTCTGTTTACTATGTTTTAAAAAATATTATTTTCTATTTTCTTTCTAAACTTTTATGCTGGTCTTTATTCAACCTCATATATCAATAGTCTAGCCTATTAATACCATTTTTTTTTTTGAGACAGAGTCTCGCTCCGTCCCCCGGGCTGGAGTGCGGTGGCGCGATCTTGGCTCACTACAACCTCGGCCTCCTGGGTTCAAACAATTCTCTGCCTCAGCCTCCCAAGTAGTGGGGATTACAGGCACCTGCCACCATGCCCGGCTAATTTTTTTGTATTTTTAGTAGAGATGGGTTTCACCATCTTGGCCAGGCTGGTCTTGAACTCCTGACCTTGTGATCCACCTGCCTTGGCCTCCCAAAGTGCTGGGGTTACAGGCATGAGCCACTGTGCCTGGTCAATACTGATTTTTTTTCCTCTGGGAGCTGATAATGCTTATAAATATATAGTAGACATACTAAACCCTCTGAAATTCCAGCATTATCTGAAACAGTTATTTTAATTTTCTGCTTCTACCCTGCCACATTACCTGTCCTGACTTGCTGAAGATAAATATGTTATGTGTCTCCTTATCCCTATAATGTGCTACATTTTTTTATATAGCATGTATCTTTACCTGATGTATTTTGTTTACTTAGTGTCTTACTCCAAAATATTATAACATTCATTTACTTCAGGATTTTTCTTTTTCTTTTTTTTTTTTTTTTTTCCTATGCCTTATTCCTGGTGACTTCATGTAGTAGGGTTAGTAGGGTCAGGATAAATGTTACCTAAATAAATATGAAATGAAGGAGGTAAGGGCTATAAGGGAAGCGTCGTTGCCCAAAACATAGGCCTTAGGAGAAGGAGCTCAAAGATAGCATATTTGATTATTTATTTATTTATTTTGAGACAGAGTCTGTCTCTGTCGCCTAGGCTGGAGTGTAGTGGTGTGATCTTGGCTCACTGCAACCTCCGCCTCCTGAGTTCACACAATTCTCCTGCCTCAGCCTCCCGAGTAGCTGGGACTACAGCTGTGTACCACCATTCTCGGCTAATTTTTGTAGTTTTAGTAGAGATGGAGTTTTGCCATTTTGGCCAGGCTGGTCTCGAACTCCTGACCTCATGTGATCTCCCCACTTTTGCCTCCCAAAGTGCTGGGATTACAAGCAAGAGCTACCACACCTAGCATATTTGATTAGAATGCTTCATTTGTCCACTCTCCGTGGTGCCCAATAGAGTTCTAGGCTAAATCCTGGTAAAACTAGGGAATAAGGGGCTTAATAACAATTAAAATTTAAGGTATGTGTTCAGAAATGTACTCACGGGGTGTTTGGGTTTTGAAGACAAATAGGCCTGCATTCATACCCTGCCTCAGCAGCTGTCTAATGGGTTAATATTGAACATGTGGTTAATTGAGTCTTTCTAAGATAATTCTAAACTGGTTATAATAATATTTGAATTGCAGAGCTTCTGTGAGAAATAGTCTAAAATGTGGCCATTTCTTTGCAAAGTCATTCTCACATCAGGGTTGCCCAGCTGGCATATATTGTTACTAATACAGTGAAGAATGTTACAGTTTTTTTATTGGCTTTTAAAAATGCTACTTGTTCCATTGCAGTGGAGGTAACTGTTAATATTTCCTTGTTTGAAATTTGTGAAACAGCCCTGCAGATACCACATCAGGTCTGACACAGGTTAAGTATTTTTGTGTTTGTTTTTTTGAGATGGAGTCTCCCCCTGTCACCCAGGCTGGAGTGCAGTGGCGTGATCTCAGCTGGCTGCAACCTCCGCCTTCCGGGTTCAAGCGATTCTCCTACCTCAGCCTCCTGAGTAGCTGAGATTACAGTCGCGCGTCACCATGCCCGGTTAATTTTTGAATTTTTAGTAAATACATGTTGGTCAGGCTGGTCCTGAACTCCTGACCTTGTAACCCACCCACCTCGGCCTCCCAAAGTGCTGGGATCACAGGCATGAGCCACTGCGCTTGGCCAAGTAGTCTTACTCTGCTACTCCTGCACTGTGCAGGCAAATTTAGCATGTTTGTCACAACATAGCGGCCTTCTCTACCTCCTGCATATGGAATTCAATAGGCTGATGCTCGGGCAGGCGCGGTGGCTCACGCCTGTGATCCCAACACTTTGGGAGGCCGAGGCGGGCGGATCACGAGGTCGGGAGATGGAGACCATCCTGGCTAACACGGTGAAACCCCGTCTCTACTAAAAACACACAAAAAAATAGCCGGGCATGGTGGCGGGCGCCTGTAGTCCCAGCTACTCGGGAGGCCGAGGCAGGAGAATGACGTGAACCTGGGAGGCGGAGTTTGCAGTGAGCTGTGAGCCGTGATCGTACCACTGCACTCCAGCCTGGGTGAAAGAGGGAGACTCTGTCTCAAAAAAAAAAAAAAAAAAAAAAAAAAGCTGACGCTCTTTCTCAGGTTTTGGGGACCCTGCAGCTCATGGGGCAGGGGTAGTGGTCTAGGGCTGAGCAGCAAAGCCTGTTAGCCCGCCAAGTGGTGCAGAAGTAAGAAATATTGGGAGTGGAACTCCCAGAAGCCTGGCGTATAAATCAATGCTTTCTTGAATTTGAGACAAGGAGTGTTTATTCTTGTTGTGGAAGATATTCCTGGATACATTTTATACTTTTTGTTATCATGGGCAAATATACAACCAGACTTTTCTAGTCTTCAGTTAACTTACAGAATAGCACTCTTAACCTCTTCTTTATGATCAGCAAGAACCAGAGCACTGTTTTCTATCTCTAGGGGGACGTGAGGTTGTTCCACTTTCCCACAAGAGCAGCGTATATTTGCGTGTGTGTGTGTGTCTGTGTGTGTGTTGAGGGGAGTTGTTACTTATAATTGATGGGCTGCAACATCTAGGCTCATGAGTGTGGGAATTTTGGGGAAGTCTGGCTTCTCATGTTATCTTCTTTACTTTTAACTTCTCAATATCCTGCATTTCTTCATGAAGGGGACATGGAGAAAGAAAGAACAACTGTTGAATTACAGAAAAATAGCATACAGGTAAGTAAAAGGTAATAATTGTCCAAAAGAATATTTCCATTGCACCAGGTCTCCCTCAGTGTTTTAGAGCACAAGTCAGCGTTCTGTTTCTATATTGGATCACATAGTATTTTAGGCACTGAAGGCCATAGTGTTTCTTTTTTTTTTCCACACAGAGTCTCGCTCTGTCGCCAGGCTGGAGTGCAGTGGCACCATCTCGGCTCACTGTAGCCTCCAACTCCCTGGTTCAACCAATTATCCTGCCTCAGCCTCCCGAGTAGCTGGGACTACAGCCATGTGCCACCACTCCCGGCTAACTTTGTATTTTTAGTAGAGATGGGGTTTCACCATGTTGGCCAGGATGGTCCTGACCTTGTGATCTGCCCGGCTCAGCCTCCCAAAGTGTTGGGATTACAGGCGTGAGCCGCTGTGTCTGACTGGCCATAGTGTTTCTATTGCAATTCAGCTTTGCCATTTTAGTGCAAAAGCAGCCATAGACAGTAAACACATGTTTTATTGTGTTCCAATAAAACTTTATTTATGCATTCAAGTGGCAGCTTGGATATAGTCCATGTGCCATAGTTTGTTGACTACTGGCCTAGAATACAAGGAAGTATGACCAGCTGTGGGCCTCACTTCAAAGTTGTGCTTGTGCAGGCTCCTGGGCCTCTCAGGTTTGTGAGAGGGGGAAAAAATGAAAAGCTTCTATTCTCTCAGTGTATTTTTATTCATTAAAAACCCATCTAGATTTGACCCTGTGTTTAATGTTGTAGTGATTGCTATGGTGGGAACGAAGTAACAGGTGAAGTTATTTCTGTAGTAAGGAATTGATGATGTCAATGTGGAAACTATTTCATTTCCAGAGCATTTCTCTCATTTCTTCAATATGCTCTGGACTTTTCTAGGCCATCGTAAGACTGGCATTGGTCACCATCTATGATGTTGTGAAATACATATTTGGGGCTGGGCACGGTGGCTCACACCTGTAATCTCAGCACTTTGGGAGGCTGAGGTGGGTGGATTGCCTGAGGTCAGGAGTTTGAGACCAGTTTGGCCAACATGGTGAAACCTTGTCTCTACTGAAAATACCAAAAAAAAAAAAAAAAAAATAGCTGGGCATGGTGGCATGTGCCTGTAATCCCAGCTACTTGGGAGGCTGAGGCAGGGGAATTGCTTGAACCAGGGAGGTGGAGGTTGCAATAAGCTGAGATGGTGCCACTGCACTCCAGCCTGGGCGACAGAGCGAGACTCCGTCTCAAAAAGAAAACAAAACAATTTGGTTTTCATCCTGTTTCCTAGCACAGAGTTCCTAAAAACCCTTGTAATCTCTGGAGCAATAAGAGGGTCTTTTGTGTGCTCATGAGATGGTTGGGGTCTGGAAGCCCCTAGAGAGCCTCAGAATGGGGGCTGGTTCAGAAAGACGCAGGCAAGATCAGAGGATTGGGACTTAAATCAGCCATGCCTATGATGGAGCCTCCTTAAAAACCCAAAGGACTGGCTTGAGGAGCTCGTGGATAGCTGGATGTGTGGTGGTTCCTGGAGGGTGGCATGCCAGGAGAGGGCATGGAATCTCTGTGCCACTTCCCACCATAGCTTGGCCTGTCCATCTTTTCATCTGGCTATTTTATCTGTGTACTTTGTAATGTCCTTGGTGATAAACCAATAAACATGTTTCCCTGAGTTCTGTGAGTTGTTCCAGCATATTAATCAAACTCAAGGAGAGGGCAGTAGGAGCCCTGATTTTAGCCAGTCAGAAGTAAAATTGACAGCCTTTTAACTTGGGATTGGCATCTGAAGTGGGAGGCAGTTTAGTGGGACCTCGTGTGGAATCTCCAACCTGTGGAATCTCCAGGTAGATAGTATCAGAAGCAAATGGTAGGATACCCAGCTGGTGTCCACTGGGGAATTGCGTGGTGTGTGTGGAAAATATCCCCCACACATCTGGTGTCAGAAGTGTGCTGTACAGTATTGAGTGACTATGTAAAAGGGTGGGAAAAACACTTTCTTTTTTCCTAGCTCATTGGCATCAAATTGTGGGGAGATAAATTTAGTGGTTTTTTTTGTTTTGTTTTTTGTCCAGGCTAGAGTGCAGTGGCATGGTCATGCTCACTGCAGCCTGAACCTTGCGGCTCAAGCAATCCTCCCACCTACCTCAGCCTCCGGAGTAGCTGCCACCATAGGCACACGCCACCACGCCCAGCTGTTTTAAAAAAAATTTTGGTAGAGACTGATTCTCACCATGTTCTGTTGCCTAGGCTGGTCTTGAACTCCTGGGCTCAAGCAGTCCTCCTGCTTTGGCCCCCCAAAGTGCTGGGATTATAGGCTTCACCCAATTTGCCTGGCAATTTAGTATTTTAGAAGTGTTAAATCTACAAGCCAGGATTTGATCAGTGATGAATTATGTATAGATTGAAAGAGAGATTTGTTGACTGAGTCCTAGAGTAGATGCTGGGATCTTCTGAACTTCCTATGAAATGACTCTCATTTCCTCCATGTTGTCAGCCTCATCTGTCCTCTTGTACACATTGGAGGAATTGTACCTTTCTGAATAGAATTTGTGGTATGTTTTAGGACTCAGTGGTCTTTGAGGATGTGGCTGTGGACTTTACCCAGGAAGAATGGGCTTTGCTGGATCTTGCTCAGAGGAACCTCTACAGAGAGGTGATGCTGGAAAACTTCCAGAACCTGGCCTCACTAGGTAAGAATGGCAAGATTCTTTCATACACTTGTTTAGAAAGTTATTTTATCTCACTAAATTGACTTTATTCTAGAATTTGGGCTGAGGAATGGGAAGACATTGATAAATAAGACAGATATGGTCACTGACCCCAAGGAACTTACAGTCTAGTGGCTTACCTATGAAAATAAACACCTGGACCGGGCGCAGTGGCTCACGCCTGTAATCCCAGCACTTTGGGAGGTCGAGGTGGGCAGATCACCTGAGGTCGGGAGTTCGAGACCAGCCTGAGCAACATGGAGAAACCCCATCTCTACTAAGAATACAAAATTAGCCAGGCGTGGTGGCACATGCCTGTAATCCCAGCTACTTGAGAGGCTGAGGCAGGAAAATCGCTTGAACCCAGGAGGCGGAGGTTGTGGTGAGCCAAGATCACACCATTGCACTCCAGCCTGGGCAACAAGAGTGAAACTCCATCTCAAAAAAAAAAAAGAAAGAAAGAAAATAAACATCTATATATTGAACTGATGCTTTTTTTGTGTGGTTGAAAGCCTTGAGGTTTATTAAGTATCGAAAGTGTGGATATAAACCTCAGCAATCACTATAGGACACAGGGAGGAGGTTTGCAGTTTGGACATTTTGAGGATTTTACTGCTATCTATGTCCTCTACCCAAAGACTACCAGAACACACCTATAGTTAAACAAGTTGGGTTTATTTTGCAGTGCAGCAAACAAGAATACATGTCTCTTGCATGTCCTAGTAACAGGAGGTTAGAAAAGACCTATTATAGGATTTGTGCTTCAGTTGAGTGATTTGGGGGTGGGTCTAGGGAAGCAGGCTGTATTAGTTTCCTAGACCTTCTGTAACAGGGTATCACACACTGGTGGCTAAAAACAATGGAAATTTGTTCCTTCACAGCATTTCCGGAGGCTGGGTTTCTGAAATCAAGGGATCAGCAGGGCCATGTTCTCTCTGAAGGCTCTGGGGGAAAGATTCCCTTTCTCTTCCTGTCTTCTGGTGATTGCTGGCAATCATTGGCATTCTGTGACTTATAGATGCATCATTCCATTCTCTGCCTTCATCTTCTTCCCTAAGTTTAAGGAAGAGACTTAGATTTCTAAGTCTGATGAAGCTACATTGACACATCATCATTGCCCAGAGTCCATCATTTACATTAGGGTTCACCCTTGGTATTGTACATTCTATGGGTTTGGAAGAATATATAATCACATGTGTCCACCATTATAATATCATACAGAATAGTTTCACTGCTGTAAAAATCCTCTGTGCTCTATCAATTCATCCCTCCTTCCCTCCCTCTTAAATCTTGGCAACCACTGATCTTACTGTCTCCATAATGTTGCCTTCTGCAAAATGTCATAGAGTTGGAATCATGCAGTATGTAGCCTTTTCAGATTGGCTTCTTTCACTTAGCAATATACATTTAAGATTCCTCCATGTCTTTTCATGGCTTGAGAGCTCATTTCTTTGTACTGCTAATACTCTATTGTCTGGATATACCATCGTTTATCCATTGACCTACTGAAAGACTTCTTGGCTGCTTATACGTTTTTGTGGTTATAAATTAAGCTACTGTGAACATTCGTGTGCAGGTTTTTATGTGGACATAAGTTTTCAACTCCTTTGGGTAAAAGGAGTGCAATTCAGTTGCTGGATTTTATGGTAAGAGGATGTTTAATTTTATAAGAAACTGCCAAACTGTCTTCCAAAGTGGCTATACCATCTTGCATTCCAACCGGCAATGAATGAGAGTTCCTGTTGCTCCTCATCCTCACCAGCATTTGTTGAATGTTCAGGATTTTGGCCATTCTAATAGGTGTGTAGTGGTGCCTTGTTTTAATTTGCATTTCCCTGATGACTTATGATGTTGATCATCTTTTCATATGCTTATTTGCCATCTGTATATGTTCTTTGGTGAGGTGTCTGTAAAGGTCTTTGGCTTTTTTTTTTTTGTCTTTTTTTTTTTTAAAACGTTGAGTTTTAAGAGTTCTCTGAATATATGTATTTTTTTCTGCATGAAATCTGATACTGTCTTCATATATTTTTGATAACAGTTCCTTCTCAGATATGTTTTTTGCAAATATTTTCTCCCAGGCTGTGGCTTATCTTTCCATTCTCTTGACATTGTCTTTCGGAGGGCAGAAATTTTTAATGTTCATGAAGTTCAGTTATTGATTCTTTGTTTTATGGATCATGCTTTAGCATTATATCTAAAATATCATTGCCAGGGTGTGGTGGCACACGCTGGTAGTCCCAGTTACTTGGGAGGTGGAGGCTGGAGGCTCACTTGAGTCCAGGAGTTTGAGGCTGCAGTGAGCTTTGATCACACCACTACTATAGCCTGGGTGATAAAGTGAGACTCTGTCTCTTAAAAAAAATTAAAAATGTCATTGCCAAACAGAAAGTCATCTAGATTTTTCTCCTGTTATCTTCTAGGAGTTTTCTAGCTTTGCATTTTACAGTGAGGTCTGTGACCCATTTTGAGTTAACTTTTGTGAAGGATCTAAGGCCCGTGTCTAGATTTATTTTTTTGCTTGGGGATGTCCAGTTGTTCCAGTACTATCTTTTCTCCATTGTATTGCCTTTGCTATTTTGTCAAGGTAAGCTGACTGTATCGGTGTGGCTCTGTTTCTGAATCCACTGTGCTTTTCCACTGATCAATTTGAACATAAATTTTGGGGGGACGTTGTTCAGCCTAGTGACACAGGGCAGTCATTTTAGATTGGTTGCTGACAGTGAATAGTATTGCTGGTTGCTGACAGTATTATTCAGTAATACTCCATTATTGAGTATGTTGTGGGTGGCATAAAGTCTTTAGCCAAAATTTTGAGGTAACCTTGTTTTGTTTCATTTTATCATGATTTCAGAGTAACTTTATCCAAGATTAGTATTTTGTGAGATTATTTATATTCAACAGGAGAACAAAATGTCCCGGTTGTGACTGTCTGACCAGCTTGGAATGATATTGAGGTTTAGGTGTGAACATTAGATCAGTTCTATATGTCAGGCTGCTTCCTTCTACCACCTCTTTTTTTTTTTTTTGAGATGGAGTCTCGCTCTGTCGCCCAGGCTAGAGTACAGTGGCACAGTCTCGGCTCACTGCAACCTCCGCCTCCCATGTTCAAGCAATTCTCCTGCCTCAGATTCCTGAGTAGCTTGTATTACAGGCATGCTCCACCACACCCTGCTAATTTTGTATTTTTAGTAGAGACAGGGTTTCGCCATGTTGGTCAGGCTGGTCTTGAACCCCTGGCCTTGTGATCCACCTGCCTCGGCCTCGCAAAGTGCTAGGATTACAGGCATGAGCCACTGCGCCTGGCCTGTCACCTCTCCTTTAAAAAAAAAAATTGACATTGTGTTGCAGTTAAACTCACAGAATATCAGAAGACTAAAGTTGTGTTTCTGTCTCATGGAAATGTTTGTGATTCTTCATTATTTTCCCTTGTGATATGCCTTTCTGCTTGGGCAGGGTATCTGCTACACACACCCCATCTGATCTGCCAGTGGGAACGAGAGGAGGACCTGCAGACAGTGAAGAGAGAACTTATCCAGGTCATCTTTATGGGAGAGCACCAGGAAGGCAAGAATCCTTGGGAGAAACTGCTTTGGTTGGGGGGAAAATATCAACTTAAAATCAAAAACAAAAACAAACTTTGTTTTATTTGAGGAAGCTCATCTTCCACAGATATCTCAGATGACTATTTTGACTTTTTATCAGTCCTGTCACATTTTCCTTGTTCTTGGCAAAGACCTTCCACGTTTCCTCTTTGTAAGGTAGCATTTGATCATGTGCATTCTATCCAATTTCTGTTTTGTTCTCCTAATACTAGCTTAGTTATGTTAGTTTCAATCTTCATAGAATTATTTCTTAATTGCTTACCATTTTGACCCTTGAGCCTATTAATGCCAAAGTCCTGAAAAAGCCACTCTGCAAAAAGTCCTTTGCTCACAAAAGCTTTCACTTTTTCTGTTTCAGGTTTTGAGACTCAACTTAAAACTAATGAATCAGTTGCTCCACAAGATATTTGTGGAGAAAAAATATCCAATGAACAAAAAATAGTAAGATTCAAAAGGAATGATTCCTGGTTCTCCAGTTTACATGAAAACCAGGAGTCCTGTGGTATTGATGATCAGAACAAAAGCCATGAGAGACATTTGAGGTGAGTGCCATTCGTGAGAAAGAGAAAGTGTCTCAGGAGAGAATCTCAAAGTCATGAAATTTAAGAAGTATGTATATATTAACAAGCCTAGGTCAAAGATTGTGGTTTGAGAAAGAATTTTCATGAATTAATTTTTTTCCACAAATGAGACAGAGATTTTGAATGTTTGACACATACTTCAGTTGTAAACAGTTATCAGAAAAATCCCAGGAGTCAATAACTGGGTGGGTGACGGTATTGGCTATGGTAGAACTCTCTGTGAGAACTTTCAGCTTATAACTTGACAGAAGGGCAGAAAACATACACATTCACTGAAATTGGTAGACATTTCTTACTAATAATGTGTCTTTTATTTTTAAAAGAAATCATATGGTAGAGAATATCTATGAATGTTGTGAAGAAAATCAAGATGGACAGACTTTCAGCCAAGTTCCAAATCTTGATTCACTCAAGAGAAACACTGAAGTAAAATCCTATGAATGCCATGAGTGTGGAAAGGCCTTCGTGGATCATTCATCCCTTAAGAATCACATCAAGTCTCATACTGGAAGCAAACCCTATCAGTGCAAGGAATGTGGGAAGGCCTTCCATTTTCTTGCTTGTTTCAAGAAGCATATGAAAACCCCCACTGAAGAGAAGCCCTACGAATGTAAGGAATGTACCAAGGCCTTCAGTTGTTCCTCATTCTTTAGGGCACATATGAAGATTCACGTCGGAAAGACAAACTATGAATGTAAGGAATGTGGGAAAGCTTTTAGTTGTTCCTCATCGCTCACAGAACACAAAAGAATTCATAGTGGAGATAAGCCTTATGAATGTAGGGAATGTGGGAAGGCCTTCAGTTGTTCCTCCTCACTCTCCAAACACAAAAGAATTCACAGCGGAGATAAGCCATATGAATGTAAAGAATGTGGGAAGGCCTTTAGCTCTTCCTCTCACCTTATAATACATATAAGAATTCACACTGGAGAGAAGCCTTATGAATGTAAAGAGTGTGGGAAGGCCTTCAGCGAGTCCTCAAAACTCACTGTACATGTGAGGACACACACTGGAGAGAAACCCTACAAATGTAAGGAATGTGGGAAAGCCTACAATTGCCCCTCCTCCTTAAGTATCCATATAAGAAAACACACTGGAGAAAAACCCTATGAATGTCTGGAATGTGGAAAGGCCTTCTACCTCCCCACTTCCCTTAATACACATGTGAAAAATCAAAGTCGAGAGAAACCCTATGAATGTAAGGAATGTGGGAAGGCCTTTAGTTGTCCCTCGTCCTTTAGAGCACATGTGAGAGACCACACTGGAAAGATACAGTATGAATGTAAGGAGTGTGGGAAGACCTTTAGTCGTTCCTCGTCCCTCACCGAACACCTAAGAACTCACAGTGGAGAGAAGCCGTATGAATGTAAGGAATGTGGGAAAGCCTTTATTAGTTCCTCCCACCTTACAGTACATATCAGAACTCACACTGGAGAGAAACCCTATGAATGTAAGAAATGTGGGAAAGCCTTTATTTATCCCTCAGCCCTTAGGATCCACATGAGAACGCACACTGGGGAAAAACCCTATGAATGTAAGGAATGCGGGAAAGCATTTCGTCATTCTTCATACCTTACTGTACATGCAAGAATGCACACTGGAGAGAAACCCTTTGAATGTCTGGAATGTGGAAAGGCCTTCAGTTGTCCCTCATCCTTTCGAAGGCATGTGAGAAGCCACACTGGAGAGAAGCCCTATGAATGTAAAGAATGTGGGAAAGCCTTTGTTTGTCCTGCCTACTTTCGAAGACATGTGAAAACTCACACTAGAGAAAACATATAAATGTAAGGAATATGGGAATGTCTGCAAAGCTTCAGATCCTAGGCAACTTGTGAGATCTCATACTGTGGAGACACCATATGAATGTAAGAAAGTAGGAAATTGTTGCTCATCGTTTTGAAGATTTGAGGACACTTCAGAGAAACCCTGTGTATGTAAATCATGTACTGAAAACTTTATGAACATTGCTTATTATGTATAAGAAAATTCATACTAGAAATGAAGATCAGTGCCTCATCCTTAAAGTAGACTGCTAGCTCTTTGATTACCAGTGTTTTCTGATAGGAACATTTAAGGTGATAAATTTACCTTTTCAGCTCCAGCCACATACCTTTTAGTATGAGGTGCTTTAATTTTGGTTCTGATGTAAATATGATTTCCATGACAAAATCTTTTGGATCCATGGAGGATGTGAAAAAATTTTTCTGTAGAGGCAGGAGTGGTCTTTTTTAAAAAAGTGGTTTCTAATTTATGTTCATCGTTCTTTAAATGGGTAGTCACTATAATATTGACACTTTGGTTTTTGTTGATGCTTTGTTTTTAGTCTACATGGTGGATAGTAGAACTTGCCCACTCAATATTTTTCTTCCTATTCTTTTTCCTAAGAGAGACGTTAGAGTTTCTGAGATGATCAGTTTTTATTGTTTAAAGCTTTTATTGTCTAGTGAGTAATTTCAGCAGAAATTAATTTAATATACTATTTTTATATTTTATTCTTTGTCCTTGCTCATGGCTGGGAATTGGATTCAGTGTTTTGAGTGTAAAAATTGTATTACATTAACTACATTTCCCAAAATCACTTTTTTCTCCAGTTCTAGGTTAGACTTGTCTAATATAAGAGTTTGTATGAGATTTGGAAGGCATAAGGGAAGAAAAAGCCATTATGCTATGTTTAGTGGGGCCATCAGACAGGGAGACAGATGTATAAAGGCCTGGTGACCTCTAGTTTTCAGCTCATTTTTTGGATTGTTGGACTCATTGATCAATATTTGCTCAAAACTGAATGTTATAGCCGGGCATGATGGTGCATGCCTGTGGTCACAGCTACTCAGGAGGCTGAGGCAGGAGGATCACTTGAGCCCAGGAGTTTGAGGCTGCAGTTAACTATGATCATGCCACTGCACTCTAACTTGAGTGACAGAGTGAGACCCTTTCTCAAAAACAAAACAAAACAAAACAAAAAACCAAACATTAAATGCTTGCTTGACTTCAGTGTCCTCCAAGGCAGCATCTCTACAGCTATCACCATATACAACTTCTTGGATTTTCTGGCAAGCTCTGGCATTGCCATTTTGCTTGTGTTGCAGTCTGTCTTACACAGTCCAGTTGCATCATGTCACGCTATTCATGGGGAAAGATAGTTTTGCAAGTCTCAAAAGCAAGAGCTGGCCGGGCGCGGTGGCTCACGCCTATAATCCCAACACTTAGGGAGGCC